GTTTGATTTTTTGGTTTTTGGCTAATTTAGCCTAACTAAATTAGTTTCGTTTGAGAAATTTTTTTTTGACTCTTTTGCTTTTGCTTTTTTTTTTTTTTTTTTCTTTTTACTTTTTTGTGTAAGAAAAAATGAAATAATTATAATTTAAATGTAATATTTTTATTTAACATATTTTACCTTTTTGTACTTTTTTAGTCCCAATCCACCTCCAACCCCCTTGCCAAACAACAGCTTAATTAATGGATGCTTTCAATTTTTTTATGCAATCTCATTCAACTATATATACATATATATAACAAAATTTGACCCTTACAATAAATAAACTTTAATTTTGACCCTTAACTTGTTTAAATATTTTTTTGATTATTTTCAATATAAATTATTTATCTAAAAAATATCAACACACACACACAAATTAAAAAAAATTAAGAGCAAATTACAAACACCCCCCTCGAGATTTTATGAAAGTACAGATTTCCCCTGAGATTTGAGAAATTACATCCCGCTCCTTAAGGTTTATATTTTTATAACAAATTGCCTCCTGAGGTTTTTATTTTCATACAGATTCCCCCCTAATTTTTCTTAATTTGTTATGAAAATTTGACCATCAGGGGGCAATTTGTAATTTTTCAAACCTCAGGGGGATCTGTATTTTTACCAAACCTCGAGGGGAGTGTTTGTAATTTGCCCAAAAATTAAAAAAATCCAAAGTTTGACCTTATAACAAAATATATTTTAATTTTATCAATTTAAATTCTAATTAGTTTGTTTCCAATCTAGACCATATTCACCTACATCTAGGGCTACAAATGAACAGAATCGTTTGTGGATAGATTCGAACTCTGTTTGGTAAGGGCTCGTTCGAACTTAAACTCATTAAAATCTTACTAAAAAAGTCCAAACATACTAAAATTCGACTCATTTAACATTTATTTAAATAATAGAATAAATATATTACTTATATATTAAATAATGTATAAATATGTATTAAAAAATAAGATAAATATGTTATTTATATATTTAAATAATATAATTAATAGTTAACTATAGATAATATATTTATATAAAGATAGTGGCTTTTCTTTTTATTAAAGTTTTAATTGCAACTTTAGTTTCGTAACAAGTATGAATTTATAATTTTTTTACCTCGTTAAGGTTCATGAACAAGCTCGAACTTGAGGCAAGGCTAAGAAAACTCGGCTTGAGTTTGGTTTATTAAATTTTTATTGAGCTTTAACTTGAGTTTAAACTCGTTAAAATTTTAATAAACAAACTCAAACATAATAAAACTCAACTCGATTCGGCATGTTCGTGACCCTACCTATTTTCGTTAAGTAAAACAGACAAAAACTAATATTTTAATTATTAAACTTAATGTCGGTATGTATAAAATGTTTAATTTTTTTTTATATTAAGTTTAATAACTAGAATATGATTTTTTTCGTTAGTTTTACTTAACAAAAATAAACAAATGGTTTAGATTAAAAATAAATCAAAAGATTAAAATTTAAATTAATAAAATTATTTTATTAGAGTCAAACCCTTTTTCTTTTTCTTTTTCTTTTTTTGTAATTTTTTCTATTTTTAATTCAATGATATTGCATAAAAAATTCAAAAACATCCCTTCACTAAAGCAATGTAATTAGCATAAATTCAAAAAGTTTTGAAAATGTACCCAAATGGCACAGTTTGGTATGCAACAGTTGTTGCTATGCATTAAGCACAGCAGCATTTTCATACCATAGGAGGGAGGGGACTAAGAGTACAACAGGATTGAATAAGAAGATTATTAATATAGTGGTATTAGATTGGAGATGTATAATAAAGAGTGTTTATTTGCACTCTATCGAATTAGTAATACTATAGATAGTATTAATATATAAAATTAATATATTTTTATTTGTAGTATTTTTTTAATATTATAATTATTTTTTTGTCTTAAAAAATATAAATTTTACTTAAAAATCATTTAAAAATTCACTAATCTCCTGTCTCAATTGCTAATCCCAATCCATCCATGGGATTTGTAATTCTACTAAGTTGGTTACTAGTCTAAGAAAATAATTAATTCCTTTACTATTATCTCTAACCAAACACTTTAAATAAATCTAACGAATTATTAGTACAATCTACATTTTCAAAGGGCCAAATAAACATGACGAGAAGGAAGTTAGGATGGAATCTAATCTAGAGATAGAACAAGAAAAGGAAAAGTAAAAGTGTTTTGTTCTGCTGGGCCGCGGTCCCTCATGCTCCTCTTAGCAAACTTGTTAGGCCTTTGACAAACCAGTCTATAAGTCATAGATTCGAGGAGTCATAATAATTTTTTAAAATTTTTATAAATTGAGAAAAATCACGAAATTTAGCCCGATCAAAACCTCTTTCCGACAAAACCTTTTTGTATTTTCATTTCTTTCTCTTAATTTCATTATTTAAAAAATACAAAATATGTGTAAAATTTAATGTATAAAGAGAAATAGAGAGAGAATAAATTGTATGTATTATTATTGATTGATATTATGTACATGGTTGGTCTCCTTTATATAGGAGATGTGGGTGAAGAGTAGGTGTAGTGGAGTAGGTGGAGTAGGTGGAGTTGTGTAGTGGAGTAGGTGAAGTGGAGTAAGTGGAGTAGGTGTAGTGGAGTAGGTGGAGTAGTTTTAACAGCCCCCCTCAAACTCAAGGAGGATAAACATAAACCAACTTGAGTTTAGAGAGAGTAACAAATAGGAAAATAAAATGACAATAAAATAAAATAAGATAGTAGACACTGTATGGTTGTGTCAAATCGTTGTTGAAGACATGGTATGGTCGTGTCACACCGTTAGAGAAGACACTGTATGGTCGTGTCGGACCGTTGTAGGAACTAACCGGAATCAATGTCGGGACAGTTTATGGGGTCATGTCGGACCGTTGTAAAAGCTAACCGGAATCAATGTCGGGACAGTTTACGGGGTCATGCCGGACCGTTGTAGAAGCTGACCGGAATCAATGTCGGGACAGTTTACGGGGTCATGCCGGACCGTTGTAAAAAGTCGCACCCTCAAAAGGTGTGCCCAATCTTTCAAAAGGCGTGCCATCAAAAGGCGTGCCCAATCCATAAAAAGGTGTGCTGGACATTATGGCGATGCGCGTGACTACCTTGGCTTGCGCGCCCATGTTGTCGTCTAGCGCCGAGCGGTGCACGATGCGCGTGTCTGCCTTGGCTATTTAACCAAGACGGAGGCTGAGGCTGAGGCTGAGGCTGAGACAAAAAACCTGCTAAAAACCTCTGAAAAACTCTTCGTTTTCTGAGAGAGATACTTTGTAACACTCTGTTGCCCAAAAAATGGCCTCGTCTTCCCGTGGTCTGCTCACTCTCTTTCCCGACCTCAACGAGTCCACAAGAGAGATAACTGGTGCGGTTGCCCTAGAACCTCAACCAAGCGCCTCTGGTTTTGCCCCGTTGAACTTTCCTATGCGATCTGTGGAGCAAATAATGGCAGTGCAATCGGATGTTGAGGCCAATCAGTAAACATTGAAGTCATGTGTGGAGACGATGACTGCAGTCACAAACTTGTCGCACCGGCTGCAGAGTAGGACAAATGAGGTGCAGTAGTTAAACGCCCAACTGGCTCTGCTCCAGCGCATGTATAAGGATGCGCGAGCAGAGATATGTGTGCTAAAAGCAGAAAACAAGGAGCTGAAGCGGAAGGCCACCGTTATGTTCCGATTTGGAGGTCCACCATATGCTGCAGTGGAGGAGCAGGGGGGAGTGAACGTGCTCGGCGGCGTGGGAAACACGGAGGCAGCACCGTCAAGGGCCGCTCAGGACGGAGGCAAGAAGAAGAGACCGGCGGCAGAGTAGAGAAGAAAAATCCCGCCTGTGAATGTGGTTGTTTTGTTTTTGTTGGTTTGTTTGTTTGGTTTTTTTTTTTTTTTTTGGATTTGTGGTGTAAAATTGTGATCAGGGCGAAGTCCCGATATGAATAAAATGAGTGTATTGTGCAAATCCGAATGGCTTGAAGGTACAAGACTGAGCAAAAAAATTAGATGGAATGAATAGAAGGTTTTTTTTTTTTTTAAAAAAAAGAAAAGATAAAAAGTTGAGGTTCAAGGAAAAGTTGGGCGGTGGAAAGAAGAAAAAGAAAAAAAAAAAATATATATATATATATATATATAAGATAAAGAATGTTTGGGCGGTGGAAAATGTGATGATGGTTTTGGGTGGAGAATATTTTAGAATGGAAAAGTGTATATAATAATAATAATAAGAAAAGGGAATTGGGTGGCCCGAGGAGGGTTCAAGTCATTTCTCTAATAATAATAAGAAAATGAATTGGGTTGCGGAGAGAAGAATCTGAGAGAGATTTCTAAAGAATCTGAGGAGAGAGAAAAGTGCCCTGCCATGGGCAAGGAGTTTGCTGCAAGAGGAATTGGATGACACTGCAAGACCAGGCGTCGGCCTTTGCGCCGTCGAAGCCGCGGCAGCGGAGGACTTCCGGGGAGGTGTATGCCGGAGTTCCGCAGGCGGTTTGGAGCACTTGCAGTGGAGCTGGTTTTCCGGCAAGGCGGAGGGGAAGCGGGAGGACGGTGCTGCGGTGGTGTCGCCGAAGCTACGGAGGAGGAGACTTTGAGTTGTACATTTGGATGGGTTGATCTGAGATCCCTCTACTGTTTGCAGATCTCGTCACGTTGAATTGTTGTCGGAGCCACTGCTGATGGGCGGTGGCGTACATTGAGGCGAGATAGAGAGGGCGATGGTAATCACGCTCGGGAACGGTCTTGAACTCAGTGAGGTAGCGATGGTATTCGCTCTTCATTTTCATGTAAAACACTTTGGAGTCTCCAAAGGAAGCCGTTGGTATGGGCATGGAGTTGAGGAGCTTGAGAATGCCGTCGTAGATCGACGATAGCTCCAACTCGATCTTAGATCTGTAATCCCTGATGGTGGAGACGTGGTCCTCGTTGCCGCGACTCTCCTCATTTTGCTTGATCGAGGATTTGGTGCTGATGTGATAATGACATCAGAATCTTGCCGAAACGGTACTGAGCGTTGCAATGAAACACTACAAAAGCTCAAGGAAAAATATGATGTTGTTGTCAATATTCAAGGGGATGAACCTCTAATTGATCCGGAAGTAATAGATGGGATTGTCAAAGCGCCGCAGGCAACCCCAGATACAATGTTTAGCACTGCAGTCACATCTTTGAAACCTGAAGACGCATGTGATCCGAACCGAGTGAAGGTATGTATAGAGGTCCGGCGGGCGGCCAAGGCGAGGCTGCCGCCCGCCGGTGAAGCAGAATGACTAGGTTGTTAACCTTGCTCTGATACCATGTAAAATTTAATGCATAAAGAGAAATAGAGAGAGAATAAATTGTATGTATTATTATTGATTGATATTATGTACATGGTTGGTCTCCTTTATATAGGAGATGTGGGTGGAGAGTAGGTGTAGTGGAGTAGGTGGAGTTGTGTAGTGGAGTAGGTGAAGTGGAGTAGGTGGAGTAGGTGTAGTGGAGTAGGTGGAGTAGTTTTAACAATATGCTTGACGAATTTATTTCAGCAAAAAACATAAATAAATAAATAAACCAGTTTTTTAAAAAACAACAAAACATTGTTTTAAATTTTCAAAAAAGTATATACAAACAGAACACTAATAAAAAATTTCTCTCAATTTCTACTCATATTATATATTCATTCTCATTCTCATTCTTGTTCTTATTCTTGTTCTTATAAATTAAATCTTCCTTTAATTTTTTAAGGGACTTATATATAAATCTTAATAGGTAGACTTATTATGCAATAAATTTTATGATAATTAATAACATTTTTTATTAAATACTCTTAAAAAAACGTCACTAATTATTTAATTTTAGTGATAATTTAAAAAATGTCACTAATTTAAGTTTTAGCGACAATATAAAAAAATCGTCACAAAAAGCCACTAAAAAACACCACTAATTGTATGTTTAGTGGCAATTTATAAAAATTATAACAAAAATGTCATTAATTGTTAATTTTTAGCGACATGTAAAAAAGTTACAAAAAATTATTTTTAGTGACAATTTTATTAGAACTTATTTTCAATAAGACTTGATAAAAATTAAATTCAACTATTAAAATTTATTGATAATTTACCTAATTTTTTCCTCTCAACCAATCTAGAAGCAAGTGACACATCAGTCATACTAAAAATCCATACATTGTTTACTGGAATGTTGCAGTTTTTACCGTTGAATAGTTGTTGCACCTGAACCTTTAAATCCATGACTACAACAAAGTGTCCGTCATTTTAAAAAAGAAAGAATAAAATAAATCCAGGATGTGGTCACATCAGAAATATGTGGACCCCCTTCACCATATGGAGGTGTGCGTTTGAGTTTAAATTTAAATCAAACTCCTTCCCAATCAACACTACAAGAAAATACAGTTTTTACTATCACTTTTACCGATTAAAAATATTTTGATTGTCAAAAATTATAAAATTGGCGATCAAAAATTATGTTAGTCAGTAAAAGTACAATATTTAGCTACAAAATTTTTTTAGTCGGGGTATATAAATTTTTGGCGACTAAAAAAAAATTTAATCGCTAAAAATCTCACAATTGGCGACTAAAAAAAATTTAATCGCTAAATTTGCCACAATTTTAGTCGCTGTATAGATAGTTTTGGCAACTAAAATAATTTAGTCGCTGAATGAAAAATAAAAAATTACTTTTTATCTTTGGCGCCCAAAAGTTTGGTCGGCAAAAATGTAATTTCAGCGACTAAAAAATATTTTAGTCGCTGTATAGATAGTTTTGGCAACTAAAATAATTTAGTCGCTGAACGAAAAATAAAAATTTACTTTTTATCTTTGGCGCCCAAAAGTTTGGTTGGCAAATATTTAATTTCAGCGACTAAAAAATATTTTAGTGGCTGTATAGATAGTTTTGGCAACTAAAATAATTTAGTTGCTGAATGAAAAATAAAAATTTATTGTTTATCTTTGGCGAACAAAAGTTTGGTCAGCAAAAATTTAATTTCAGCGACTAAAAAAATATTTTAGTCGCTGTATAGATAGTTTTGGCAACTAAAATAATTTAGTCGCTGAAAGAAAAATAAAAATTTACTTTTTATTTTTGGCGACCAAAATTTTGGTTGGCAAAAATGCAATTTCAGCGACTAAAAAATATTTTAGTCGCTGTATAGATAGTTTTGGCAACTAAAATAATTTAGTCGCTGAATGAAAAGTAAAAATTTACTTTTTATCTTTGGCGACCAAAAGTTTGGTTGGCAAAAATTTAATTTCAGTGACTAAACATATTTTGGTCGCTGTATAGATAGTTTTGGCAACTAAAATAATTTAGTCGCTGAAAGAAAAATAAAAATTTACTTTTATCTTTGGCGACCAAAAGTTTGGTCGGCAAAAATGTATTTTCAACGACTAAAAAATATTTTAGTCGCCGAATGAAAAATAAAAATTTATTGTTTATCTTTGACGACCAAAAGTTTGGTCAGCAAAAATTTAATTTCATGGACTAAAAAATATTTTAGTCGCTGTATAGATAGTTTTGGCAACTAAAATAATTTAGTTGCTGAATGTAAAATAAAAATTTATTTTTTATCTTTGGCGACCAAAAGTTTGGTCGGCAACAATTTAATTTCAACGACTAGAAAATATTTTGGTCGCTATATATATAGTTTTGGCAACTAAAATAATTTAGTCGTTGAAAAAAAATAAAAATTAACTTTTTATCTTTGGTGACCAAAATTTTGGTTGGGAAAAATGTAATTTCAACGACTAAAAACTATTTTAGTCGCTGTATAAATAGTTTTGGCAACTAAAATAATTTAGTTGCTGAATGAAAAATAAAATTTTACTTTTTATCTTTGGCGACCAAAATTTTGGTCGGCAAAAATGTAATTTCAGCTACTAAAAAATATTTAGTCGCTGTATATATAGTTTTGGCAACTAAAATAATTTAGTCGCTGAATGAAAAATAAAAATTTACTGTTTATCTATTGCGACCAAATTTTTGATCGGTAAAAATTTAATTTCAGCGACGAAGAAATATTTTAGTCGCTGTATAGATAGTTTTGGCAACTAAAATAATTTAGTCACTAAATGAAAAATAAAATTCACTTTTTATCTTTGGCGACCAAAATTTTGGTCGGCAAAAATTTAATTTCAGCGACTAAAAAAATATTTTAGTCGCTGTATAGATAGTTTTGGCAACTAAAAAAATTTAGTCGCTGAATGAAAAATAAAAATTCACTTTTAATCTTTGGCGACAAAAATTTTGGTCGGCAAAAATTTAATTTCTCCGACTAAAAAATATTTTAATCGCTGTATAGATAGTTTTGGCAACTAAAATAATTTAGTCGCTGAATGAAAAATAAAAATTTACTTTCACTCATCACTCTTTCTCTCTCTTTCTGTCTGTCTCTCTCTTTCTCTCTGTGTCTCTGTCTCTCTTCTCTCTCTCTCTCTCATTCGTTACTCTTCTCTGTCTGTCTCTTTCTTTCTCTCTGTGTCTCTGTTTTTGTCTCTGTTTCTCTTTCTTTCTCTCACTCATCACTCTTCTCTGTCTGTCTGTCTATCTCTCTCTCTTTATGTCTCTCGCTCATCTCTCTATCTCTCTCATCTCTCACTGTCTTTCTTCTTTTTATCTTTCTCGCTCATCTCTCCCTGTATCTCTCTCGTTTATCTCTTTTTCTCTCTTTTTCTTTGTCTGTCTCTTTTCACCCATTTTTTCATCTTCCTCTCTCTATTCTCTTTCTCTCTCTTACTCATCACTCTTCTCTCTCTGTCTGTCTGTCTGTCTCTCTCTCTCTGTGTCTTTCACTCATTTATCTCTTCTCCCATCTCTTTTCTCTCTCTGTCTATTTCGTGCATCTCTCTTCTCTCTATCTCTCTTGCTCATCTCTCTTCTTTCGCTCTCTCTTATCTCTCTTTTCTCTATGTCTCTCTCGCTCATATCTCTTATCTCTATCTCTCTCTTTGTCTCTCTCGTTCATCTCTCTTCTCTCTGTGTCTCTCTTGTTTATTTCTCTTCTCTCTATCTCTATCTTTGTCTTTCTCGTTCATCTCTCCTCTTTCTCTGTCTCTTTTTTTGTCTCTCACTCTCTATCTCTTTCTCTCTTTGTCTTTCTCTCTCTCTTTCTCTTTGTCTCTCGCTCATCTCTCATATCTCTATCTTTCTCATCTTTTTTCTTTCTCTATCTCTCTCACACATCTCTCTTCTCTCTATATCTCTCTCTTTTTCTATGTCTTTCTCTCGATCATCTATTTTCGCTCTCTTTCTCTGTCTCTTTGTCTATCTCTCACTCATCTCTTGTTTCTCTCTGTCTCTGTCTCTATTTCTTTTTCTCTCTGTCTCTTTCTCTCTTTGTCTCTCTCTCACTCATCACTCTTCTTTCTCTCTTTCTCTCTCTATGTCTGTCTCTCTGTCTCTCACTCTTCTCTCCCTTTCTCTCTGTGTGTCTGTCTATCTGTCTCTCTCCCCTATTGTGTTCACTTTGCTCATTCTCTCATTCCCCTCTTCTCTATTTACCGAGGTCTTCACTATAAGAAAATGCACTTTTAGCGACCACTTTGTCTCTCTCTCACTCATCACTCTGTCTCTCTATCTCTCATTCATCTCTCTCTCACCACCCACCATTGTTACCACTCCACCTCTACGACTACCATTACTACCACCATCGTTACCACTCCGCTACCACTACTACGTACTACTACCACTATTACTACTATTACCTCTCCTCTACCACTACCACTTCATCTCCTCTACCACTACCACAACTTCACCACTAATCTCCTTCGCCATTACCACTCCACTACCACTACCACCAGTTTTGCCATCACAACTCCACCTCTCTGTCTCTCTCTCGCTCATTTCTCTTCTCTCTCTTTTTCACTCATCTCTCTTCTCTATCTCTCTCATCTCTTTTCAAATATTTTTTTTCCAATTATTATTTTTTCAATTATAATGTGTATGATCCCATCGTCATAAATAATAAAAAAAATAAATATAAATATTTTAGGCCTAGACAAACATGTTTATATTTTTAAATTTTTTTAAACATTTTGTTCAAACCAAACGCGTTTGTAATATATATTTTTCTAAAAATAAACAAAAACCAATTTATAAAATTTATGGAAAATATTTTTCATTAAAATATTACCCCTACTTCTACCAAAGTAAAAAAATAAGAATTTTTTTTATTCATTAAAATAAAAATGAAACAAATAAATTTTCAACCTTAATAACTAAAAAAAAAAAAATTCATTAACTATAAAAAAAAAAAATTTATTTTAACAAAAAATTATTTTTTTTTTATAAAAAAAGAGCCATTTTGTTGTTTAAATATTACCAAATATATATATATATATATATTCCCTCTCTCTCCCTCCCCCCCCCCCCAC